GGGGTAAGTAGGGTCCGCTTCTCGTTTATGGCCGCCGCCGTCATTGTCGGCGGCAAGGCTCATTTCAACGCCGGCGGCGCGGGTTGAACGGCGATCGGTCGGAGGAGATTGAGGTGGTGATTGCAGGAAGAGGAAGGAACGACTTTGAAATTTGAAATGGTCGCCCTAGCATTCCACATTTTGAAATTCTACGCTGCACACCGGCTTTGGGTGGGCCCTGGGCGGCTCCGGGGTCGTGCGGCCAAAACCTTTGGTGGTTAGGGTTGATGTAGATGAGTATGGAGGACTGTTTCAATGGAGATGAATAAAAATATTACAATTTTTTTTATTAATAATTTGTTAAAATAGAGATATTTATTGTTTAATATAATGTTTATTAAGCATTAATTATGTCACAAAAAATCAATAGTTTTGATTCAATTTTCATATCTCATAACATATCAATATTCAATTCACAAAATTTAATTTTCATAAAATATATAGTTAAAATGAGTGTTTTGACGGGGCAAATTTGAAAAGTATAAGATTACTTATTTATGATATTATTAAATATTAAGGTAATTAATTAAAATATTGGAGACTAAAGAGAGTCAACTGCGACTATCTTATGAGAGTACTAATTTTAAGATAAATGATTTGAATGTTCTCTTGAAAAATTAAGAAAAAATCATGTTTTTACGCATCCAAAATAGATCCAAGAGAGAATATTGATGGAGATAATTCACATGAAAATCTTTGAAGAACTAATAATTAGCATCGAATGCTAGTCATTTATCAATATCAATCTTAACAATTAACAAATATCAACAATCAATGTCATCATTACCTAAAGTCAGCTATTTAACAATATTTGATAACAGTCTCCCAAAACCATATTTTCTCCCATCTAATATGGTGAAGGGTTAGTTAGATTTATTAACATTACCAAACTTTTATTTTCTCTTATCAATAATGAACTCACACATATAAAGGACCAGTGTCAGCCAACTATCAACATCTAGTGTCTGCTTCCCTAATCATTAGTCCCTCCTCTTATAAGGAGAATAATCGAGCAAAGTAATTGTCATTATTTAACATTTGATGCTCTCAATTGAAACTCACCAAGCAGTTGGTTTGTTTGATATCTATTGGTCATTGGCATTCAATATATAACTTCCTCCTTTGATAAGGAAGATTAGTTTAATAGATCTACAACCATCACTTGACATCTAACATTATCAATCAACCTTCATTCAACACTAATAATGTGTATTGTATGTTAGCTACTGACAACTTGCCTTTATCTTTTTTTTCACTTATCTGCTTTCCTATAAAGAGAATGATTAAGACAATCATCTACAATCATCATATCATGACTTTTGTATCTTAAGAATCAAACCTCCACAAAAGAAAATGCTCTATTAATTTTTATATATATTATTAAATTAATTCCTTTTTATGGATATGAGAAATTACTTTCTTAAAATATATGACTTCTATTAATAAAATAATTTTAATTAGACTATACCTCATTGGCATATCACCAAAAATCTACATGATTAACAGAAATATCAATAAATTTTGAATAAGATTACTTCTAGATTCAAATTTAGCATCATTCAAACTATGAAGATATGAAGATATTTTATAAAACAGTCCTCGTAACAAGAACCAGAGAAAAGTGGTCCAAAATGAATCATATTTTGACTCACCTCAAGCAACTATATGAGAAAATCCTTATATAAAGTTTTCATATTTTAACCAACGGAAAAAAAATCAAATTTGTTTGTTTTATTTTTGGTTCACAAAGTCCTCTCATGATGATGTATCCTCATGGTTAATTACATCTTGGGAGATACTTAAAAAAAAGTCTTGATAAAAGGTATTATGTTTGTTTGATATAACCCTTTGTAAATAGAATTCCAAGGATATTTTTACCATCCCGATAAAGGAAGCCTCCTGCTTTCAGGACAGAGATAAGCTATCGAGTAGAGGGAGAACCACCATCTAATAGATAACTCTTTCCTCAACAAAAGAGGTTCTGAGATGACTGTAATAACTTGTCAAAGGAATATGGAGGGCTCAAAGGGGTAGTTAACAGAAAGGTGAGCAGGATCTACAACAGGTAGTGATAACCTAGTCAAAGTTTTATAGATTCGTCATCTCAAAATATTAAGATTCTAATTCCATTCAATCATGAAGGTACTCGTACTAACCCAATCAGGAACTTCTTGTAAATAACTCATGTTTTATGTCTTTTAAGGTATCCAGTAGCTTTAACGTCAGAGAAATAAATATCTAAGCTCCTAAGATTCTATCTAGACTAAAAAGATAAAGTGGTACTAACACTCTCAAAGCATAAGATAGGGATACCTACAGAGTGGAAAGAGAGTGAATGATTTGACTATAAAGGACTTGTAGACTTGTATGGGTTAGGACAACCTTCAACACCCTAAACCATACAAGGCAACCATGTAAGCGTATAAAACATATGCTAGGTCAATCAGAAGTATACTTCCCCTCGTGACATGCAATATTATATACAATATTATCTATGGTGTCTTAAACATAGAGGCCCAATTATCATGCTTTGAGAATATAGCCATGTAGAGATGCATCATTTTAAAATTGACTCGGAGGACATTCAAGAAATTAAAGACAGTTTTTAAATTTTGTTAATTTTAAACCTAAATTTTGTTTATAATAAATGTTTTAAGTTTGAGTTCTTATATAAAGATTTTATCATAAAGATTTTAAGTGTAATGCCACCTAAGAAAACCACAATAAAAAAGAGTGAAACTTGAAACACACGTTACAATAAATTAAACAAACCAAATAAAATAATAAGAGGTTTGGTGTCATTAAGTTGACAACATATCCCAAAAAAGAAAAATAAAAATTAAGCTCTGCAAAATAAACTTTCGATCTTAAATCTATATAAAAAATGAAATTGGAATTAAGGTATGAGACACCTCAATCCTCTCCTAGTCCTCGCCACATAACTCCATGCTCTAACATGAACTTTGAAAATCATGCTCGTATCTTGTTTTCAATACAAACTCTTCTAGGAATTTAAAAAGATAATTATAAAAGTCTAAAATAAAGACTCAACCTGCAAAATTAAAATTTAGCATAGGTATAGAGCATGCAATGAGAAAATGAGTCATACTCGGTGGGATGAGAGCTAAGCAGCGCCTACATAAAATACAATAGTTAAAACATAAAGCCTTTTCATGTTGGATGTGGCTCTATCCAAGAAAAAATACTTATAATTTACTAGTGTGCACGTCTCACACCCAATAAACAAGTAGAAAAATAACTAAAATGTGAATACTAGAAAACTAAACAACACAATAGTCGGCATATGAAAAACCTAACTACAACTTAACTTTAGCTCTAAACAAATATTCACAACTTCAAGTTACTTTATAATCAGAGATTGTACTGTGGCATACAGAATGAAGTAACACTCATAATGTGTAATGTAAAAGGTAAGCACTATCAAAAAGTTTAGAAGATACATCAAATAGAACAACAACTATACAAACAAATACACTATCACAAAGTGTAAAGACTGCATCAAGCGAAAGATGAGTTACAAATACCAACACACTATCATAAATTATAAAGACTACAAAATGTGAAACAAGCTAACAAACATAAAATACTAATCCACTACAATTTCCTCCTCCTCCTCGTTAGGGATTTGCTCCTACACGTCACTCTTAGCTTCTTCACCTTCTGAGCATGAAGGGGGGTATTTAGAAGACTTGCTCCAAGTAAGCCCCTCAATATTAGCTCATTTTTGTTAATGCATCTTCTGAACCCCCTTTAGGAAGCCTCATATAAATCCATCCTCAATACATTCTCATTGCAGTTCCTTCACTTCAACGACATATATGTGATTTTCAACCTACTTAATATAATCCTGAATGATACTCATGAACTCAATTGAGCTCTTGAAATCCTCTGTAGCTTTTGCACCAACTCCAAGGAGGTCGACTTCTTTCTTCGATTTCAATCTCTTATTTTCCTCCTCAAATGAAGATACCTTCACTCTCAGAGCCTTTAAGCACTTAGTACTATGATTAAGAATAGTCAGTACCTCCACCAGTTCCTCCCGAGTACTAACCATATCTTGAAGCTACAATAAGAGAGAATTTGCCATGGTAGACATCTTCGTTATGCACTCCATCAATTTATTTTTTATGGCCGCAACTTCTTCAACTTTGGAATCATATCTACACTTATACTCACTCTATAAAATTTTAATCTTAATAAATTTAAAGTTTCACTCTGTCAAGGAAAGATTGAGCCCCGCTTCAAGCTCCATTTTTTTCATCATCTAAGATAAATAATTTTATATCAAATGGATGAAAGGAACATAAAACAAAGGAGATTGACATGTTTAAAAAAGACTCGTATTCTTCAGCATATTGGTACCCAATACATGAATGTTCAGTGCACTCTCTGAAATATGAATCTTCAAAAAACTAGTCAA